CCCACCCCCCTTTCTCCCTCTACTCGATAAAACAGGAGGTCCGGAAAATGTACGAAAAGCCAATGCTTTTTTTAATTCGGTTTTGGGTAGGAAAATGCGCTTCACTCGGGTTTGGCGGACCACGGTTGCGTGCGTGTCCACGACAAGGGCGGCCCTGTGCGTGCGCCCGGACGCCAGGGCGTGCGCAGCGTGTTACGCCTTCAGTGTCAAGTGTTTTGTTACGACACATGAAGACACGCAGTCTTATTATGTTCACTTTTCGTTGTCACACTCTTTCGTGTGTACATCGGGAAAACAAAGGTGCTTTTATGAATGTGTTTTACTGAATTATTGCCTCTAGAAGGCCGCTACTCCCCTACAAAGAGGGTTGTTCACATTTGTTGTTGATATAGAAACCTTCCTCGGTAGATACCACGCTAAGAACAATGTCTCATTTTTTGGGGGAAAAAGGGAAAACTTTGAGGAACTCCCCTGGTTTGACAGAAACTCCTCAGATTTCGAGGAAGTCTTCTCAAAGAATGAGGGGATTGTCCTATTTTTTTTTTTTAGAATATTCCTCAAAATCTGAGGTGATATCGGAGGATTCTTCCTCAAACATGGGAGTTCCTCAAAGTTTACAGCTACTGATCATGACCACCGCCGTTTAATTGTGTATCCCCATTGTATTGTGTTATCTCTTTCGTACTGATGTTTAATATTGTTTGCGGCTCATCGAGAGAAAGTGTCCCTCGCGAACTCGCGAACTGAGTCTGCACGATTAAGATGCATTTGCAGGTCGGGTGCGTGGGGGATCGCGACAGTTCGCTTCTCCCTCCCTCTCTCTCTCTCGCTCAAATTCCTCTCCTCCTCCAATCCCCTCTATCTCTCCCACCTGACTCACCGCCATTGCGAGTGTCTTATTTTCTCGCCGTCTTGGCTGAATCAATCAATTTGTCCTCCCTATTTGTACCCCCTTTTGTCCGCGCCATATCTTAATTCTTCGAAGTTTGGCACGCGTTTCGGGCCTCTACGGGTCAAAATTTGCAGGAAAAATATCTGTTCCCAACCAGCTTGGAAAACTATTCAGAGAAAGAATAAACGTTGGTGCAGGTCTCCGAGAGGCCTATCTATCGCCTATATCCACCGAACGGAGTGGCGTAAAAATTGTGTGCAGCATAAGAACTTGATATCCCCACCTCCTCCTTTTCTCCTAATGTTGCCCCCTTTTCTTTTCTTATATCGCTTCCACGACCCGCCCGGTATGCGGGCACCGCCGTTGTCACTAATTCGGCGCCAGGAAGTGTTCTTTTGGCTGGGCGGAAGAAGACGCCTCGATAGGACGGGTTCCACGGGGCTGGGCTCCTCCTGCTTACGTGAGGCTGTCGTTATGGCCGCGGCGACACTCCCGTTAGAAGCGTTATTCCACCACTATAGGCTCACCAAGTGGATGGTCGATCGGAAGCCACCTCTCGCTACTCTTGCCTCTGTTTATGTATTTTTTTCGCCGCCGCCGCCGCCCCGATCGTTCTCCGTTACTGCGATGTGTTTGTAGTGTTGTTTTTCTGCTGCCGGGACCGTTTTGCGGTCTAGTCGCTCATTGCAGCCCGGAGCGGGAGGCGCGAGCGAGCGCTGAGGTGTCGGAGAGAGTGCGAGAGGCTCGAGTGGCACAACGGCGATTATTTTGGTTCTGTTCCTCGCTGATGACTGTGGGGTCCCGGCCAGGCTCAGGCAGGCGCCGCCGGTATGTGTCAGTGGGCTCGTGGCGGCAATGCTGGAGGGGGAGGGGGGGGGGGGCTGGACCAGGTCCCGAGCCCGGCAGGACACCGATATGTGGGCTTCTGGGTTAGCAGGCATTGCCAAGGGTGGGGCGTGGCGCTGTGGTAAAGGAAGGGGAGGGGGGGAGAGGCAAATTCTGACCGTGACAGTGAAAGGCCCCGACGCCGCGGCGAGGCTAGCGCCCCCGCCCCGCCTCGCCCCGCCCTACGCGCCCTACCCTGGATTGTATGCGGATGCCGCGTCGATAGTGTTCTCATCGTGTTGTCCTTGTGTTCACAGAGGCCCAGCTGCAGACGGGGCCGCGACCAGCGCGGGCTGTCCGGGAGGGCGGTGTGGGCGCATGGGAGCCGCACTTCTGCGTCCTGCTGCAGGATGAGCAGACCCTCACGGCCTACCGCAGCGAGGAGCTCGCGGTGAGTATTCTGCCACCTCTACTGTATTAAAAGCTTACGGTGAACTTCACTGACTATAAACCTCTTTCTCCCCCTTCTAACGGGCTTCTCTCGCCCGCTGACCTCTGTCGCCCTCTTACTAACCCTTACTGCTTTTCCCTCCCCATGCTGCGTTGCAACCCGCTGCAGGTTCTGCCCTGGACTCCAGTGGGGCGGAGGGAGAAGGTGAGTCCTGCTGTCTGACCCGAGTGTTTTAGTTGTCGTGTTTCCTGCTCGCTCAGTAGAGTATTGCATTTGAGAGTTGTCTGTTGATATTTGTTGAGTGTATGAGCTTTGTAATGTTGTATTTGCTCTCCTGCTGTTCTAATGTTTAATGCTTCGTACTCAATGCATCAAAATATTTGAGGTCGGTCGTTCGAAGGGGCGAACACGTTATGCCACACACATTGTTCACAAACAGGTGCATCGGACTTCAAATTGCACAACCTGGCCACCTTGTATTCGCAGTCCTCGATCTGCAAACCACTTTAAGCTTCCAACGGTTGAAAGAACTAAAGTCGCGTTAAGTGTGACACTCTATCGGTAGATCCGAGCACAAGAGTGCTTGGTATTGCCATTCCTTGTATACCCTCCGAGTGTCATTAAAGGACATTCCTGTGGGGCCGGGGCCGTCCCGTGTCGTCCGCCGTTATGTGGCGGCCAGCAAAAGTCATCTGGGGAAGTCATGTGTCCCCGCAGAGCGGCTCTGCAGCGAGCCGGCGCAGGGCTCGCCCAGCGGGGCCCATCAAGCTGGAACGCGACGTCGGCGGTGTCAGCGGCGGTCGGCGGTACTCCACCGCAGAGCTGCAATTGGGGGAGTTGTAGCGCAGCAGCTGGGGGCAGCTGGGGCAGCTGGGAGCATGGGGCAGCTGGGACAGGTGGTGTGGCGGGGCCTCTGGCGGGGCGGACCGCTAGAGGAGCTGCGGTCTGTGGCGTGCCGTGTGGCGTGCCGTGTGGCGCGCGGCGCGGGGTCAAGTGGACACGGCACGGAGTGCATGACGTATCGGCACCGTAGCACGGCATGGCTGAGGTTGTCTCCACCCCGTCACTGCTGCGTTTTAACCTTCGTCCATATAGCTTCAGAGGGATTTTTTTACGCCTTCCTGTTGGATGTTTACTTTTGAATAATACTTGCTAAATGGGCGCGCGCCTTACCTCCCCTCTCTTTTTGGATATTAGCAATGCGAACGCCACGCCACACGGCCAGCAATCGCATCGCGGAACACAGACTATATGTATGTACGTACTCGGCAGTGGCAGCAGCAACCGGCAGCAACAAACAAACGAGGAATGTTAGCAGCTAGCACAGGAAGGGCCGGCAAGCAGCATAGCAAGGGCGAACGGCCGCGCCGTTTAAATAGAGACTGTCCTGCCTGTCCCTGTCACTGTGTGCCTATGTGTGTAACAGCAGTAGTAGATGTGCAGGAATGGGATTGTTTTGCTGTCGCTGGTGCACGCACTACTTTGTGTGCTTCTAGTGTATTTCTCTTTTCAGTATAAACTGTGCCCCCTTTCCATGCTCAAATTTGCATTTAAAGAGGGGCAAAAAATAGCGTTGTTTGTAAATGTTGTCTGGTAGAATTAGCATTTGAGTTTACAGTCTTGCAAACTTTTCTAAAATAAAATTCTGCTTTTTTATAACTCTTTATGTTTTTAATAAACTTCAGAAATGATTTCTATGTCCCCCTACGTCTTTTGTGCATCCTATAGTTACCTGTCGGGGGATGCGCATTTCTGACCTCCTCCTGCTGCCCCACAGGTGGGCGACGCTCTCTTCGTGGACCTGCCGCGCGTGCGGCTCGACGGCGGCGTCAAGGCGTTCCGCCAGCGCTGGGGCTACGAGCTGCAGCCCCCGCCCACGCTGCTCGAGGAGGAAGAGGACGGCGGCGGCAACCTCTCCGTCAACGGCAACCAGGACCCGGAGGTGGCCTCCATCAACAGCCCAACAGGTAAGTGCGCAGATGCAGATGCAGGTTGTATGGGACGGGGCTGTGGCTGACTGCAGCCCATGGGCGCCTGTCGCGGGGTAGCTCCGCCGCTTCCAGCAGAGGCGCCGATACCTCGGGCGCCTGGCCCTCGCGCGTCGGGTAGCGCCACCGCGGCGGGTCCGTTGGAGGTGTCGAATGGGCTGCCTACCCGCCGCATGACGGGCGTCCCGCTAGTAGCAGCAGGCGCTGCGGGCCGTGCCGGGCCGGGACTTCCCCCCTGCAGCCTGTCACGACACACCTCATTGGCTCGCCCGTCACGTGCCGTGCGCCGCACCGCACCGGGACCGAGCAAGCCACAGCGCGTGCGCTCATTGCATCGGCGGCGGGGAAAAACTAGGTACATCCTCCATTTCATTTCAATATGTAGTACTTGCATTGCTTCTTCTCGAAGTCACTACCGGCTGCCAGGGTAGTAACGTTAAAAAGTGCTACCATCTTTTGAAAGGTAACTGATTAGACGGAAATAGAACCTTTGCTTACATTAAAGCGATCTTTGAATTGCCGCCAATGCCTGAGCCAAACGTAAGGTTCGGACATCTTTCTTTTGCACCCGGAAGGTTGGCTCACCGCACGTACGGGTGTGTTAGGTGGAGACTAAGACTCTCGAATTTAAAGGAAATAGCTTCGTCACACTTCATAGTTAATTTCGGTGTCCTTTTCAAGTTGGCTTATTCAGTGAGACTTTTGACACTTAAATTTTCTCGAGTAAAGTTACGCCGACCAACAACTAAATATTCGCTGTCGGCTCCTTTGCACTTACGTCCGATGTAAAACAATGTGAAACGTATGCCTGCAACAAATTAGTGAGGCAGTGTTATGCAAATAAGCGGTGATCGAGAGTGGCGCGCTTTACTGGGTTGATCGTCCAACGGAGCTTCAACGTGTTTATTCGCACCTCCAGTTTTCCACAAAAACGTTATGTTCATCACCGACGCCAGCTGGCGCTCCGTGCTCAAGCTCCCCCTTCTAGTGAAGTAGCAGAGCATTACTGAAACTCTTAACTTTGCTTTTTACGGCAGAGTAAATCGTACTACTCTACTCCCTGCTGATCCGAATCTGATCACAAACAGTCCCGGCTCCATCCATCACAAGGCTGATCCCGACACGGTGCTGCGCCTGTTCCAGCGAACAGGGCCCGATTGGACTGACTGACTGATCGGCCGACTGATCGAATGGAGAAATTCCTTCCCAGAAAACATTCCGCGCGCCAAATTTCAAATCAGCAGGGGCGGCGTCGTTCCTGTTGGATTAGGCAGGATGCGCCGACTTACGTATATCTGAATCCAATTTAAGCATCCGGAATTCCTTTTTTTTTTTTGCCGGCATGCACGTGTTGCGCATTGCGTATGTGGTCATTAATTCGCAGATAAACGACCGCGAAACTTGTCGCGCATGTCGAGCCCAAGCTTTCCGCCGCTCTGGCTGGCTGTCCTGGCGGCTGCCGGTGTGCCGGCCGGCGGGGCGTCGAACACCTCGGTGCGTCCCCGCCGTGGGCCCGTGGGCGGGCAGGGCGCCGCGCCGGCCGCGCGCCGGCCCCGCGCAGTGCATCCATCTATCGGCGGGTAGGTTGGTATCGCTGGGCTGCGGCAGGCCGTTGGCAGGACTGCAGCAGGTCCGCGTGGGACGACCCACCCGGCCGTATGTCTCAATGCACGGTCTTTCGTCACTTTCGCGATGACGCCACGCCCCGCCACGCGTCCCGCACGCAACGCCGCGCGGATCAATTTGTCGCCAAAACAGAAATATACCACAGACGGCAGGGTGTTTTGTTTTTGCCTTCTCTAGACCTTTTTGAATGTTGTACGTGCTTTCCGATGCTGTACAAGCGCCACCCTGGCTGTGCACATTTAAGGTAAGGGTCCGGTGAAAAAATTGCAATTTTTGTACAAATATTCTTAAATGAGTTTTTGCCGAAAAAAACAATGTTTCGACCTCTCTCCTTTTGGGAAACCATGTAAAGTTCACGAAACGTCTTTTCTTTTGTATTTTGGATCGGTCTACCTAATGGCTCTTGTAGCTTTTTCGACAAAAGCCTGTTGTTGATAGAGAACATTTTGTGGAACTTTGAGAAACTTCTTGCGCAACAGGTTGTGAGGTAGAAAGCTGCCCTTTGATTTGTGACTTCCTT